TTAAAAATTCACACCATTTTTCTGTTAGCGTGTCCGATGAATACTGATGTATTTTTAGTGCTCTCATTGGTATGTTTAACGCGGTATTTCAGCGTTCACGAAGCTTTCATTTGAAAAAAGATGGATACGCACAGTTTTGTCACGAATAAAGGACTCGTGACCGCTTTTCGGACCAACCGGGGAAGAGTCTTGATTTATTATGTGTCAAATTACATTGTCACATATCGAATAGCAGAACTCTTCCAACCGGTAAGTAAGTTGTGTATTTAAATGCATTTACATGCACGGTAGTAATGAAAACAGCGGAATATCTTCCTGCTGAAAACAAATGCACCTTTCATCGTCAAATACTGCAGGGCAGGTAGAGTCACCTTGTGCTGGCATTTGTTGGAAAGTTATTGTCTAATATGAGAGCATGACTAAGGGAATTTGAAAATCATACTTCAGCAATTGGCTTATCTCGGTCCTTGTTGCAATCACTATAAATATGAGACGTTAGAAGACAAAAGGACTAAAGATTTCAATTTTTTAGTGTACTTCAAACAAGCGGTTGTACACTCCACAACCTCAGTTGGATTACATTACGATGCAACCTGCTGCGTCAAATGGTCCACTGTACTGTATCCAGCTTTCCTACATTCGTACCTTCTCATGATATTCGCTTGGCCAGTCCTGCCAGCCTCTTTGACATCACGGTTTGCATCTTCTTTGAGGCCAGCAATTTATCAGTTCCGGTTAAACAAATATTTCACATGAGCTTATATTCCAACGTGTGGCATCCCATTACTACAACACTCGTGCAGTAATAAAACAGTATTCTATGGGCACGCTGCGCATCCAAGTACAGGCAAATTATCACCATCATCCCAGTATGGATCTGGTCAGCAGGATGTCCTGTGGGTGTCTAGCTGGGAAAGCTAACACTGCTCTCTGTATTCCAAACACAGAAACAATGGTGATGCCCCAACTTCCAACTAACCTACTTTACCTGATCCGATGGTACGTTGTTGCAGTTTCTTCTTCTAGTTGCACCATATCTTAATCCACATTAATTACTGCGTGCATCGCCGAAGGTACATACACAACGCTTTAATCCTTAACGTCGTTGACGGCCAGATGTTTCGTGAATTCATCACATGAAAGGGCCTATTTTATTGGCTGTGTAAGCTTCAGCAAAGCTGTAACCTGTGCTTTCGCGGCTAATTTGAATGCGCATGTTCCCCAACCGTTTATAATTTGGCTGACCAGGATATGGCGGTTAATACAGTCTTGTTTTCTAGTCCAACACATGAGTGATATTCAATTAGTAAACGTTTCTGCTGACATGGAGTCACAAAATTCTAGTGCAAATGCAGCTCTCCACTGAAACAGCTTCGAAATGATGCTGCATTTCGATTACTCTCAGCCACACTTACGTCCTAATTGGCGTTCATTATTAAACGAGTGTTAACTGGTCAAATTATAGCCGACTTTCTCGGGTTGCTGAACGCTGAAGTTGATATAGCATTACGCATCTCTGTGGTGACAGCTAACAACGTCCACGTAATATGCACATAACATAATTGTTTCTGATGTTACGTGGCCATGCCTGCGTGCGGTTGTTTCGGTTGACAGCATGAATCAGCATGGTTTTGTTGGACAGAAAATATATCTACTAAGGAGAGATATGAATCGCTTCCCGGCGTACGACAAATATTACGGGGGTATCATGAGTCAGAATTCTACGTTGGATGTGACAGTTGGTTTTAGCAAAATAAACAAACATGCGTTGCATGACAGTAATTGTGCACGTATGTGCATTTACGCGTTGAATTTTTTAGGTTCCGATAGCACTGGCCTAAACCGGCTGTCATCGGCTTCCTCTGTATTAGTTTTCACACCGTTCATGGTTACCAAATCTAGGTGCACTCTACGGTGATTGTACACTGGCGTGTTGGCCTGGTCTCCGTTGTACCCTGAAACGAGTTACTTATTTCACGGTACAAGGGCGTGTACACTGGTGGTACACTGGTTTGTTGACCTGGTTTTCGTTGTACCGTGAAACAAGTAACCCTAAATTTGTGAAGCGCACAAGAATTTCGATTTTTTTCACAACGATATCTTGATGGACATCTGTTTCTCGAAATTTGATTTAGAATTGATTCCGCACTGTTTGATGTGAGCAGATGTGAGCACAGTGGCTTCTAGCGTGTCGTCCTACATAACTGAATAACGAAGTTAAACCTAAAACCTTATTTCATGATTATGATTCGTTGATAGTGTCCGTATAACAATTTTGTATCGCAGCATACATTTCACGTAGTACTTGGCTATCCGATGATTACACGCGGTTCAGATTCCAGTCACATTTATATTTGCGATTCGGCTGCACTTGCACAGTTTCTTCGTAATGTCGTTTACGTGCAATAACGCAACTTAGAGGTAGACTTGCGCAAACAGTGTTGTCAGAAGGAGTTATTCATGCCATACATGTTCCTCAGGGTCCACGAACAACGGTACAGTAAACCAAATACTAAATCAATTCAGCAGCCTCTGTTGCTACATTTAACTTATTTTGACTTTGGCAGACAGCCACAATTCTTCACACATCGGATTAGATAATATGTTTATCCTACTGCCGATGAAGTCAGCTTATTTTGGCACACCCAGTTTGTTAGCGTACGCATTTTCATTGGCAGCATAACCTGAAGTAATAAGTTTGAGAAGTTAGTCAGGTATTGGACGAATTTTGCTCGCCCGTATCATGGTTACTACTGAGCTCTACGCCTCTGTAACCAGTTATAATTTTTTTGAAAGTTTTTGAAAACCATTAATTTTGAGTGAAACACTGGTGTTTTCCTGAATGTCGGACATGCATTATTTTCAGCCGTTCCCACGTTTGCTTGCCCTAAAACATTCCGCGCAACTGAAACATTGAGAAATCGTAGGATAAAAGCAAAACTCTTCTCTGGTGGAAGCCCAAAGTGTTTCCTGCACTCAAAATGAAACAAGCATTTCCGGGTTGTTCTTTAAGACGCAAAGTAATCAAAGTGCATGCAAGGATTTTTGTTTGGCAATACTTGAACCTGTCCTCTATGTGCGTGCCAGCTGCTTTTTTTAGAAGTAGATGTTTGACGCGCATTTCTAGTAGGACATCAAGTATCCTAATTACCAAAACTTGATAGACGGCGATGCTCTGTAGAACACACTTCTGAACTCCGCGAACTCCAACCACGAAACGATGCTAGTCAAAATGCTTGGCGGCTCAACAAATTGTGGCTGTTCGCCTTCAGGTTCCGGAGGAAGTTCACAGTGCTTATAGAGGAATGTCCCAAAGCGCGTCTCCAAATTGACGATTGCTCTCTGATCTATGTGCCATTGTTTATATGGTAAAGATAGATGGGTCTGAGACTTCAGGAACACATTGTTGACACCGTCTCGGGTTTCAAAGATTGCTCTACCGCTCAAAAAATTATAAAAAACGCGAATGCTTTGTTAACGGGGCGCACGCTGGTAAACCATGTTTTCAGTTTACATTCATCAACATGCTCAAAGCACTGTAGTGCATGCAGAACAACCGGGAAAGGAACAAATGGATTTCACCTGCGGATGCGAGAAACAAAATGCTGACAAACATGTTACCCAAAACACCCAATACAAGTAAGTACACTGTACTGATTCTCATATTGTCGTTCGCTTTTTGTTTTCACTGGCTTGATCACAGACGTAAAGTGAGAATGTTAGCGATGAATGCGAAATTGTTGCAGGGGAGTATGAACTAAAAGGGAGAACGTCTCAATTGAAGTCATGTCCTCAATATTTTCAGTCAGATAAGATAAACCCTAACCTATGTAGGAATTTTTGATATGGAAACAAGCGTGAAAAAGCCAAAACCGAAGGAAAGACAATGGTAAACGTTCTTCAAGGCACGATAAACCATAGCACGGTCTAGATTCGCAAATCAGGCACGAAGCGTCCGTCATGATGAATCTAGTGCGAGAATCAGTGGCATATGCCTCAGTTTCCACCTTCTGCACTTTTCTTGTCATGTGTAAGGCAGGAAGCCTCTTGCTCTACCCTCACTCTTTTCGTTTTTTATGCCCACTACCGTCAAATCTTAACGGTCTGATTCTGCTCAATGTTATCTCAAAAAAACGCATAGCAACTGTGCTTCCGTTCTTGTGCCAGTTCAGAAGTGACCACGCCCACATCAGACAATGCCCACCTCTTTTGCGTCTGTCCCTTTTCTTAAACCCTCTGCGCCCACAATCCCCGCCAGTCATACTTTCATTCTTACTACAACGTTATAATCAACCTAAAGGTCTGCCACGCACAAGTTACGAATAAAGATTTTTTGTTATTATCATCATGTATCGTAAGTACGCAGAGAGCCCACAATGGCAGGCAAACTTGAGTCATTGAGGTTGACCTTAGGAAGTCCCATTCCAATAACATGCCTGGGGGAAAGCAGATCCCCCGTTAAGAGATGACCAACGGTTGCGAGTAAAAAGGAGCTTTTCCATGTGTCCTCCACGTCGCGTCGGGATCGTTGCACTCAGCCTTGGGATACCAAGTTCCCCATGTTGTTTACTGGTGTAGATGTAGCTGATCGGGGTGTCCTTCTGTAGACGTAATCAGCCACAAATAGATTGAGTGTGTTTTGTTGGACTTGGCCGTGCAGCAGCAAGTATGTCAGCCTCGGTTTCAGGAAGCTCCTCTTGATCTCTGTTCGTTGACGTGGCTTCAACGGCAAACGCGTCATCTCATCCAGCAGTTTGAGCAGGTGATGTCGGTGGTTGAAGGCCCTTTTCCCGCTGAAAGTAAAGGGATGTTCAAATATGGCACAGGACTCAGAGTAGTAATTGGCTCCTTGGCGAAGCAAAATGGTTCGACGGAGACTTCTCTGGCCCGATTTTTCACGGTCCCTACAAAGCACCACTGCTTTCGTCTCCCAGGCGCTTTCAACTTGACCGTAAAAGCCTCAAGCTTCTTCTAAAGCCGAGCCTCATCTATGCACAAACTACCAACTCGTCAGGAAAGGTTAAAACATCTGATAGCATATCATGGAACTGCTTTCTCAGTTGCGGCATTGACAGCTCGGAAACGTCATCCATTGTCATGATGAATAATAATGGGAGGTTATCTCCTTGCCTCACACCTCTTTGAGAATGAACCTCGGAATTTTGGAACACTTCTCCGGCATTCTCACAGGATTGTGCAGCATTTCGAACATGAGGGGACGGAGCTCCAAACGCCTCTGCAGATCTGTCGATTGTGACATGCGAAACCGAATCGAACGCTTTCGAGATAACAACAAACTCCAAGCTGAGGTTAGAAGCAGAAGCTGAAAAGTCACTAAGCAGAGGATGTAACACGATGTAGCTTCCAAACTCCCGTTTAGATGTAGAAATGCAAACGAGAATGAGAGCAGTTGCAATTTATTACCCCATTATTCAGTAAGCAAGGCGACGGACGAGAATGGAAAACACGGTAATCCGTAGCAGTTGATCCGATGAATTCGGATTTGGGACAGCCGGAAACTGGGTAGTACGGGCATAGATGTGAGGGACAGCTCCTTGATAATAAGAGTTGGTTGAAGCACAGTTAGCACGTTACAATTAAACCGACGGGTCATCTTGAGGTGTGAGCATGTTCAGACCTGGGGACGAATTGGCTATTGAACGAATCGTACGGCTGACTTCCTCTCCTGCAATGGGCTCGATCAAGCTCCAATCCGATGATAATACTACGCTACTTGGCCGGCTCTTCACGTGTTTTGGAGCTGGGAGCAGCTGTTCCCAATACTGGTCAACGTCCAGTGGTAGGCTGCACCCTTGTACAGATCCCTCCATGATCCATCGAGCACAGCAGACGCTGCATCCTTCCGTTTATGGTGGTGTATGGTCTAGATATCGGCATAGTTGCCCCGGTGGATCTGCTTTCGGTTGACCGGGGTCCGATGGGCTAACCGGCGATGGCGTCGCGATACTACATTTCAGGGGTATGGGAATATCCTGGAGGCTTGGAGGTCCAGAAGCAACAGGACTTGCTCCGATGTCATGATGCTAACCTGCAACCTCTAGGCAAATACCAGAATATCAACACTAAGAAACGAAATGGCAGAATGAGATTTCAAACGTGACACGACGCAATCCACGGCTTGTTTAAACCAGACGCTGTAGTCATTGGCTTCCGATGAATAGGCAGGCATTTGACAGATAGTTTGGTCAGGTTTATCAGATGATACTTTGTCCTGTTTCGCTCGCCAGTTAAGTACTTATAACCTGGTTTTGATGCTGATAGCCCATCAACCCGCAAACAGTGCGGGTTTCGTGCCACAAGACAGATATAAAATTTTAGCCAGGCGCAAGAACGATTGTGACTCTTGTTTGGACCATCAGATACCAGAATACGTCACTCGATCAACCTTATCTGCATTATGCTGGATAACTATGCGTGACTTGGGCCATTCGTCAGAAAAATGCGGGAACAATCAGCACAGGCCATTTTGGTGGCTATGTATGTACTATCGCTTTAATTTTCGTGAACTACCAAGCTACCAAGCCTGTCTTCCATTTGCAAAGCCTGCCACATTTCTCAAACGTGAGCCCCATGAGTCTCTCCTGTGTACTGGTTGGAACTGGTGCGGCGGTGCCAGATGATCTGTAGCATTCATTGCCGAGAGTGACCGGCATATTGAATCCAAACATTGTGGTTAGCCCCTTCTGGAGTTTCTTAACTCTTAGCTCGTGTTATGGAACGCTTAACCCAAGCCAAGGACGAAGGACAC